TTTGAACTCACCCCAACTTTGGAAGAATAGCCGGATATATTGGGAGCACTGAGGTTCCTCTGAGACACAAGTATCTGGTTGCTCCAAGAGTCGTCGTTGTGCGCAGGTTCCTAGATTCCTTAAAGATAAGCAGAGGGGTCCATAACCCAGATTTGGCAGCCGGTTTTTTCCACTCCGCAGTTTATATACCAGAGGTACGGTCACATAGGAGGGTTTAACAATCCAGAAAACAAAATTTGTAGCAAAGGGAATCACTTCAAATGGGAAGGGCACCGGTGCTTTGCTTTTATGGTAGTATTCTTGGGTCTTCTGGTGTTTCCTAGGAAAGACGGGAACATCGACATACGGATAGCTGGGATAGTCAGCACTTTGCTTACTCAGGCCAAAAGCACCCTCGCACCCCTGATAGTAGCTGAAATCTTCCGCGCTCTCACAGCCTGCAAAGCCGGAGGAGACTTTTTTGAGGGGTGCAACTTGTTGCTGCAGATGTGGATGATTGAACATCTATGCCATCGTCCTCAATTCATGAGTTATGGGTCGACAGAGAAAAACTGCATAGAGGAATTTTATACAAGAGTTGATGGGATTAGCTTGCCAGAAGGGGTCGCAGAATGGGTATCACACCTCCGTTCCATCACTGCAAATCAAATGGAGTGGACGTTTGGATGGCTTCCTGTAGATGAGATCATATACATGCCAGCTACCGGGCCTCATTTCCTCTTGATGGGTCTCAGGAGTATCCAGCCTTATGCCCCATACCGGGTTTTGAGACAGCTGGGGAGATGCCAAATAGTTCCAAAAGATGAAGATCTTAGCGCTCAAGTAGTCGAGATTGGTCCTGATGGTCAGTTTCATGAAGCAGCAGTCCGCCAGTTTTTGAGCGAATGTCAATACTTGACGGCCAATACCTGTGTACGTGATCTATCCAAAGGTGAAGTTTCACCAGGGTGCCTTGCTTGGTATAAAAGGGAAATTGAGTTTGGAAGGCCGGCAAAAAGACCCCATCTTCAAGAATTTGCTGAGGCGTCACAAGCGCAATGGGATTGGTTGGCCAAAGAAAATGAGTATAGAGCTACCATAAGCAAGCTAGAAAAGCAAGTCAAGGACCTTCAATTCGAGAATATTTCGCAAGTCGCGACGGATGAGGGTGAAAAGAAAAAAAGCTAGCCAAAGAAAATAAGGCCCTTCGAGCCCAGATTCGAGAAATGAAAATAGCAGCTGAAAATCCCGCCAGAAATGCAAAGGATGAAAAGCTAATAAATAACCTTAGGCAGAAGGTGGGCGAGTATGGTTTTGATTTGAACAAAGCAGAGGGTGAACTAGCCCGGGCTCGAACAAAATTGGCTAAGAATTCGGATGAAAGAGCGCGCCTGGTTAAACAGTTAAAAGAGGAATACGACAATGAGGTTGCGGGGTTGGAGAAAAGGGTCATCATCGTTGAGAACAAAATGATCAAGCAGGCGAAAGACTTTAAGGCTGAAAGAGAACACTGTTATGCAGCAATGGCACAGTTAGAAAGAGATTTGCAACAACTTCAAGAACAGAATCAAGTAGCTGAACAAACTTTGGAAGGTAGGGCCCAGCAGATTGGGCGTTTGTTGCAAGAAAAGGGTGTCATAAGAGAGAGGGTCAGAAGGATCGCCGACTACATCGCGATGAAATGCAGTAGTTGTAAGGACATGACTAGATCCATGTTCTTTGCCACTATAATGACCTTTGTTCGCCAGATAATGGAAGATCTCTATCATCTCCAAGGAGATTTAGCGCGTAGGCCCGTGGCGAGACCGAATGATGTCCCGCGGGCCCCATGAGCAGTTGAGGCATTGATGTATTCGTGATTTTCATGGGAGTCTGTTAGTCTGTTCTCGAGTCGGTATTTTTATCTTTTGTTGGATTCTGTTAGTTTGTTTTTGAGTCTGTATTTTCGTCTTTTCATCAGAGTCTATTAGTTTCTTTCTGAGTCTGTTAGTTTTTGAGTCATTGTCATCAAAGCATTTCCTTTTTATGAAAATTTGAAAATCTCAAAAAATGTTTTATTATTTACACTTATCTCCCAGAACTACGCTCGGTCTGATTCATGCGGGGTCATGATACGTAGGCAATCTCCATAGGATTCGACCATAACCAAAAGAAGGAAAAAAAAAGAAAGAAAAAGAAGAGTAAAGAAAAAGGAAAAAGAGAGGAAAAACAAGAGAGAAAAGAAAAAGAAAAGAAAAGTGAGAGAGGAAATAAGAAACGGTAGGAAGGAAATTGTGGCAAAACAAGAGAGAGAAATCAAGCAAAGAAAGGCGTAAGTGCAAAAGAGAGAAAACGGGAAGTTGCAAATAGAAATAAGGAAAAGCCGGTATGACGCAAGCAACCGATCAAATGCATAATAGAAACGGTTAACTGTTTAGGTGCATTCATCCCCCAAAATGTGCGGTTGCCTATCTGTTAAATCCTGATCGCTAACAAGTTTGTTATTGTCATCAAGTAACATGCAAGTGGTTAGTTTGTGTGGCATTCTGGAAACTCACCCATACAACATCCGTTCCAAAAACAAATTGATCATGGCCAATCAGGAACTTGATGCGAGTGTCATCGATCCTTCAACAGAGGTGGAAGAGTTGGATGTTAATTCGATGAAAGAAGAGATGTATAAGCTGAAACAACAGATGGCCGAAATGTACCAGGCATGGGCAAAAGGGCAACCACCACCAGCTTACCCCACCAACCCTGCCTTCATCCCACCATTGGCTCAGTCTCAGGAACCCCCTACTACCGATTCGTCCCAGGGCATTCCCATTTACCAACACTACCAGAGCACCACCTCCCAAACACCACCAGCTCCACCACCCAAACCAGTTCCATACCCTCCTCCACCAGCTACTCCTGTCTTCGTGGTGCCCCCTCCCACTACACTCCACAGATCCTCCAACGAGCCTTTGTTCCAAGCTCATGATAACCGGTATTACCCCCCGGAGCCCACTTTCAAAGCTCCAGAACCCTATTCCTACACTCCCCGTTTTGATCTCCCTGTGGGAACTGAAAAGCCAGCTAAAAATCCCGAACATGAGGAGATGTTTAGGAAAGTTAAAAGCCTGGAACAGTCATTCAGAGACATGCGGGGGTTGGGAGGTCAAGTAAGTGTGGCCTACAAAGATCTATGTTTATTTCCAGATGTTCAACTGCCGGCAGGGTTTAAGATGCCCAAGTTTGATTTGTATGATGGGCATGGTGATCCAGTAGCGCACTTGAGAGGTTTTTGTAGCAAAATGAGGGGAGCTGGCGGAAAAGACGAGTTGCTAATGGCATATTTCAGTCAGAGTCTGAGTGGATCAGCGCTGGAGTGGTACACTCGGCAGGATCACGGAAGGTGGTATACATGGGACGATCTGGCACAAGCATTCGCTTGTCACTTCCAGTACAATCTCGAGATTATTCTGGATCGACTATCCTTGACAAAGATTGAGAAAAAGCACAATGAAAGCTTCAGGGAGTATGGCTTCCGGTGGAGAGAGCAGACAGCAAGGGTGGACCCTCAAATGAAAGAAAGTGAAATGGTAGATTATTTTCTGCAGGCTTTAGAGCCTACTTATTACAGTCATCTGGTGTCAGCTGTAGGCAAGTCCTTCAATGAAGTGGTGAAGATGGGCGGTATAGTAGAAGAAGGGCTCAAGACAAACAAAATCATGAGCTATTCGGATATTAACGCAACCACCCAGGGCATTCAAAGTGGAACTGGGGGAGTAATTGGAAAGAAGAAGAAAGAGGATGTAGCAATGATTAATTCAGGAGCTTGGTCCGGACCTAGGGGTTCACCTCATCACTATCAACAGCCTCGTCCCCACCACCAAACCTACCCCCATACCCCGTATAATCCACCCCAACACTACTACCCACCACCAGACCCCCATTTTTCCGTCCACCATGCCCAAACATACAGCCAACCTCCGGCCCACGCACAATGGCGTGCGCCAGTCCCACAAAATACATACCCAGCACCACAAAATGCCTATCCACCCCCAAGAGCCTACCAAAACTCTCCTGGATCAGGTTTTCAGCCCAACCAAGCATTTAAGAACGAGAGGTTGCAGAAGAGAAAAACCTTCACTCCATTGGGAGAGTCCTATACTAGTTTGTTCCACAGGCTGAGACAATTGGATATGCTGAGGCCGATCGAGCCAAAATTGCCAAATCCTCCCCCGAGAAATCTTGATCATTCTGTAAGTTGCGACTATTGTTTTGGTGCTCCGGGGCACGACACGGAGAAATGTTGGCAATTGAAAAATGCTATACAAGAGCTCATTGATACAAATCGGATTGAAGTCCAAGCTCCGGAGGCGCCCAACATCAACCAGAACCCGTTGCCGACCCATCAGGAGACAAATGTGATTGAGATAGTGCATAAGGGAGGGGAGCCTAAGAAGCCTTCACAGACCGTCATGATGATTCGGTCCAGTGAGGCCAGGCCGGTTGAAAAGTCAACAAGTGAGAAATCAGTGATCAGGTTGAGCGGGACAAACAGTGAACCATTTGCGGTAGTCAAGAAAGGGTCCTCAAGTGATGTTGCAGCGAAACAAGAAAGGGCAAAAGTGGTTGTGCCAGGAGCGGCGAACAAGCCTTTCGTAATTGTGGAGGGTGCCCGCACAGATCCCGTCATTATCAAGCCAGGCTCCAGGAAGCGCCCAGTAACAACAGTTCCTAGTTCTGTGGTTGATCTTGATAAAGAGTTGATTGAAAGGTTCGAGAAGTTGTTCGACGATGTGAACATGGTGGAAGTTGGAGAGGGTTCTGGCAAGGCGGATGTGCAATTTGTCGGGCCAAGTGCAAAGATTAACAATTGAAAATTTACTCTTCTCCCTACCCGGAAGGAGTTTTAGTAGTTTGCTTTGATTTTCCTTCAGTTTATCTGGATTATTCCAGGGTTGTAATTAGATTCTATGTTCCGTCCGTTTGGATGTATAAACCCTGTTATCCTTTATTTTCAATGAAATGCAATTTCCCTTTTCCATCACTCCTGACAGTTTTTATTTTTGTTTTCTTTTCTTCTTTGTACAGTTTTTTTTACGCTGGTTTCAATGACATGACATGCATGAGGAATATTCGGCCAAGTTTTAAAAGCCAACCTAATTCTGAAATAATAATCCAAGAAATAAAGTGTGATGATGAAGCAGAGATTGATGAGTGGGTCAAAACCCGATTGGAGCAATTAAGTCTGATTGATGAGAAAAGACTGGCGGCAGTATGTCACGGCCAGTTGTATCAAAAGAGAATGGTAGAGCATACAACAAGAAGGTGCATCCCCGGAAGTTTGAGGTGGGTCAGCAAGTATTAAAACGTATCCTTCCACATCAGACTGAAGAAAAAGGCAAGTTCGCCCCAAATTGGCAGGGGCAGTTCATTGTAACGAGAGTGTTGTCCAATGGTGCTTTGTATTTAACAGATATAGAAGCCAAATGTGTAGAAATGGCTATCAATTCTTGTGCGTTCAAAAGATATTATGTATGATTTCTTTGGTTAAATTGTGTTTGTTTGTACTTGGCATGTTTTGAAGATTGGAATGACAAAGGCATTTTGTTCTGCTATCTAAACACTTTATCCTTTGTTACCCCTTTGAGCCTTATTTATTTCCTTTCATACCCCTCTTCTGGAATCAGTAGTGAAATTCGTGTAAAGAAGTAAAGGGGGAAAGAGAAGAGAAAAGAAAAGGAAAGAATGGAAAAGAAAGAAAAGAGAAGAGAAGAAAAGAAAAGAGAAAAAAAAGAGAGAGAAAAGAAGAAAAAAGCAGAAGAGAAAAGTACAAAAAACAAAGCAATTCCTATGACATGAACTACCTTCGACCTGATTCCTTTTAAGGATACGTAGGCTGCCTCACGGTTCGGTCCCATCAAAGTAAAAATCCAAAAGTCCCCAAGCAAAGAAACTGGGGAGAAGTTGTGGTTGTTGTAGGAAATCCGATTCCAAAAGTTGTAATCTTGAACTCATTTGAATCGTTTTGAGCCTTTTGATACCCTTTCTTTCTAACCCTATCCAAAAGCCCACATTACGGTCCAAAGAAAGACCTTCTGATCAGTCTTCGAGAGATGCCAAGTCGAGCAAGTAAAGGTAATTCATATCAGGGGCAACACTCCAGTCCAAACAAGGAAAATGAAAAATGAGAGAGTCTTATTGGTGAAAACCCTCGCGGGCACCGTAGGCGACGAAACCTGAGAGAAATAAAAAATGAGAGAGTCTTATTGGTGAAAACCTTCACGGGCACCTTAAGGCGACAGTGAGTTGAGAGATAAACAAATGAGAGAGGTTTGTTGGCGAAAAACCCTTCGGGGCGCCGCAGGCCGAACAAGGTCAATGTTTAGGTAAAGAAATTGGGTTTTGAAGATCTCGAGGCATAAAATATGGCCACTAAAAGTTTATTGGTTGGATAGACTGGGCCGATTAATCCAAAATGCATGTCATGATCATTGGCGCCAGCTGCTCCACCCAGATAAGTCTCTTTTCTTTTCCCCTTCAGACAGTCTTCCAGTTTTGGATTTTTTTTATCCCTAACTCTCAAGGTCATTGCATTTCATTTCTGTTGGGTTTATTTCTCTAAAATGTTTCCAATGTCAGTTTCTTTTAAGCAATAAGAAAGGATTTCAAAGCTCACTACCAACTTCCAAAGCTGCATAAAACACAGGGCGGCCAAGGCACTGCTAGAGATAGTATGATGTGAAATAGGATATAAAAGGTCAGTGGAAGTTCCACCGGATATGGTTAGTAATTTTGTTGGAGATGCAGAGGTTCAAACAGATGGGTCAGAGATGTAACACAACGATTTGGGTATAGAACATTCGGGTCATCCAAGTTCATGGGGGTTGAAAGTCAGTCGGAAAGTCAAGCGGTTCTTGGCCAGTTCGGGGAAGCTAGTCAAAACAAAGCACGACAGCGGAGAAGCCACCTTCAGCAAGAATGCCACAAACTAACCACCACATTTTTAAACCGACAAGATTTTTCTTTGATCGAAACAGGGGCAGAAAATTTTGTTTGTTTCAGAGAAACCCTCCATAAGGAAAGCAAGTGCTAGATAGACTCGGCAGTAAGCTCCAGTACCCTTTTGGATAACAGGATTTAGTAGTTTTGAGGCTCTCGCAAATGACAAGGTCTGACGAGAGGTCTACTTTTGGGAAATGTAATTTGGCATTTAAGTTTTCACTTTTGAAATGAGGCTTGGTATGAAGTTTTCAGGATAAAAGAATTTAATTTAGAATTCATTTTGATAACAAGAGTTGATTAACACTCACAGATGTGCCCAGCTACCAAACTGGGGTAGAAAATTTTCGTTGTTTTGTCTATTTTGTTTAAATCAGGTACCCACCTAGAGAGCAAGGGAACATAATAGCAGTTTTGGCAATCATGCGCCCACCTGGAGAGCAAGGGAATACAATTGAAGTTTTGGCAATCAGGCGCCCACCTGGAGAACAAGGGAATACAGTTGAAGTTTTGGCAATCAGGCGCCCACCTGGAGAGCAAGGGAATACAGTTCAAGTTTCAGCAATCAGGCGCCCACCTGGAGAGCAAGGGAATACAGTTCAAGTTTCGGCAATCAGGCACCCACCCGGAGAGTAAGGGAATACAGTTGAAGATTTGGCAATCAGGCGCCCACCTGGAGAGCAAGGGAATACAGTTCAAGTTTTGGCAATCAGGCGCCCACCTGGAGAGCAAGGGAATACAGTTCAAGTTTTGGCAATCAGGCGCCCACCTGGAGAGCAAGGGAATACAGTTGAAAATTTGGCAGTCAGGCGCCCACCTGGAGAGTAAGGGAATGCAGTTGAAGTTTTGGCAATCAGGCGCCCCACCTGGAGAGCAAGGGAATTAGTTAAAGTTTTGGCAATTAGGCGCCCACCTGGAGAGCAAGGGAATATAGTTCAAGTTTTGGCAATCAGGCGCCCACCTGGAGAGCACGGGAATACAGTTCAAGTTCTTGGCAATCAGGCATCCACCTGAAGAAAAGGGAAAGCATCTCAGATTACAATTCATGTCGGCAACAAAGGGACTTCACCGGGAGAATACAAGTCAACAAGGCAACAAGAATCACAAGATCAAGTTTGAAGATATAGATAAGGCTTTTGTAATTCATAGATCATAGTTTAGTCTAGCTTCTTTTTTATTTTGTCATGGTTTAATAAGGGGTTCAGTAAGCAGCAGCAGCAGCAACAGCAACACTGAAATCACAGCTTCATGGTAGTCCCAGCTACCGAACATTCCCGAACTACACTGACCTGATTCCTTTATAGCCAAGGATATGTAGGCAGCCTCGGATGTAGGGTGCGGTCAAATCTTTCAAAAATGCTTCCCACGGAGTATTCAAACGGGCAAAAATCGCTCGTATACGCTCACTTTATCTTTGCACGAAAACTCTTCGTGTTTCCGAGCAAAGAGGGGCAGCTGTGAGCATGTGATTTTTGCCCTATATGAATTACTCCCACAAATTCAAAACAATATAATTTCTTCATTGTTTGCAATTTGGTGGATTTTTGTGGCATTTTTTGTCAAGTGCTTGCATTTGTCTATGCATGTTTATTTTATTTAATTAATAAAAAATACAAAAATATGTTGCATTTGCATTTAGGATCTAACTTTGTGTTTTGGAATTAAGTAGTAAATTAGTTATTTTATAAGAATGGGAAAATCACAAAAATGGTATTTTTGCACTTTTATTTTTAATCCTTGAATTTTGATGGTTTTCCGCTTAATTTAGTTTTAATTAGAATTAATTAACTTAATGCGTTAGGATTGATTTAATTTAGGATTTTGTTTGGGTTTTACTTGAGTTTTTATTTTAGAAAATTAATTTAAAAAAAAAGAGAGAGAGAGTTTGAAATAAAAAGAATTAATTTGGAAAAAGGAAAAGGAATTGAAGAGATTAGAGTTTTTGGGCTTGTTTTAATTAAAATCCCAAGCCCAAATGAATTTTCCCTCCCAAAACCTGGTTAGACCCACCCCATACCCGTCCAAACCGGTCCAACCCATCCCCCAACCAAAACGACCCCGTTTAGGTTAGATCAGATGTGAGCCGTCGAGGTTTAGTAATCCAACGGTCGCGAAGTGGGGGTCCATTTGATATAAATCTGTCCTAATCCCGTCACATCCCGTCACTCGTCTCTCTCAATTCACTCTCTCTCAGAGACTGTATTGGAACCCTAGCCCGCCGCCCTTTTCCCACCACCCTCCACCGGCGGCGCCTCCGCCAATCACCCCCAAAAATACACCATCGAATCCTCTCCACCACTCCATCTTAAATCTCCAATCGCCTTTCCTCTAATGCCACCAGAACGTCTCAAATCTTAGAAACCCTAGTGCCGCCATAACTTTCTCCGGTGGCGGCGCCAGTCCCAATTCCTTCCAAAATAACACCCCTTGACCACCACAACCCCCTCTTCCCTAATCCATATCCATTTTCCTTCAGATCACCCCTGAACTCCTCAAATATCAAATCTAAATCAGAACCCTAATTCCAAAAGCTCTTGATTCGAGTTTGTTTGGAAGATTCGGGCTTATTTTGATGTTATTCGTGTGTTCTTATTAAGAACACACGATTAATATCATAGTTGGCCGGAAAATCCGAGAAGTTGAAGGTCCAAGCTCCATTCCTCAATTGCTCGAGTCTCAGTAGGTATTTTCTTTCGTCTTTTCAGTTTAAGCTAGGTTTCTTTCTCTCCCTCCATTTCTCCGTTTCTTCTTCTCTTCCTGATTCTTTTTCTATTTCTGTTTTTCATTTGGTCCTGCTTGGTTAATTATGAAATTGTTTTGGTCGGTTTGGTTAAATTCTAACTAGTAGGTCATTTAGCTTAATTTGTTAATTGTTGAAATGTTCTTCTTCTCTTCCTGATTCTTTTTCTATTTCTGTTTTTCATTTGGTCCTGCTTGGTTAATTATGAAATTGTTTTGGTCGGTTTGGTTAAATTCTAACTAGTAGGTCATTTAGCTTAATTTGTTAATTGTTGAAATGTTCTTCGGGCTTACAATCTATTTGAGCCCAAACATTTTCTTTTGTTATTGTTGGTTCTGGTGTTAGTTCTTTTGTTTGGATTTTTGAATTAGAATTGGGTCCAAAGGGGAAGGGATTAGCCCAGATGGGGATTTAATTTGGGTCTGCAGACTTATGACCCATAGTTGGTTTAGGTTGGGAGGGTAAATATTAGAGGTCTTAGGGGTAATTGGTTGAAATCTTGTTGTAACTGCCTGGGGAAGCGTCTAGGAAGATGGGGAGGGGGATTGTTTGCAATACTGATTTTTAACTAAGGACTTTTCAGCTAATACAAAAATTAAAAAAGGGCAAAAATGCAAAAACTGAAATCTGCTAGTTGCCCTACTCTCCTTGCCTATAAAGGCACTCTACCTTGTTATTCATGTCAGAAATGAAGAGATAAAATCTCAGAAAAAAATACCAACGGTTGCTTCCTTGAAAAATTCAGAAATAATTCATAATTCTAGAGGTTCTCTAAGCAACTACTGATTTTGTTAGGATTTTGGTTATTCCGAATAGTCCAGTTAAAATCTCTGAAGCAATGATAGTTTTTTTTTGATTCGGGATTGAAGGTGAGTTGAGTTTTGGGTATTTTTAAAGCTGGTTAGGACTTATTGTTGGAAAATACTGTTTCATTGCTGATTTGAGCTGATTTCACTGTTCAATTGGCTCTACTGGTGCTGATTTTTGTTGCTACTTACTGCTACTATTGTTACTACTGAACTTCACTCCTTTGTTTCCTTTATTTCCAGGTATTGTCTTTCCCTTGACATATGAAATGAAGAAGCCAAGTGTTTGTTTGAAATTGGAAATACAAGAGCATTAGTTTTCAGCACATGTTTTGTTTTCAACATTTCTGGAAATCGTCAAATGTCCTAGTTAGTTTTGGTTCTTATTGTTATTAATGCATTTCCGTTTCAGTTTTGAGCTCATTTGCAATTTTAAACGAATCATGTGCTTCAAATTATTAGTGATTTGCATGAATCTTAATGTTCAGATTTGTATAAAAGGACTCTAAAGGACTGTTATAGTGTAATGTGGGTCAGAATGTTTAGGTTTTAGTGTTTGCTTATTATCTGTTGATATCGACATCATTAGTATGGGTTCCATTTGAAGGGTGTAATTCAGACTCTTATTGTTTCTTAGATTAACCTATAGGATTGACATTTATCATTCACATGTCTCGAGCAAAATGCCTCAAATAGCATGAAACTGTCTGTTAAAAACAGCTCCAAAAATCTGAGTTAAGCATGGTTACTTGATGTTTGTTTAATCCTGAGTTTCCAAAATGCTTCTATGTTCGTCCCTGTTGGAATAGTTAAATCAGGATTTAAATTGGAAATTTATGTGCATTCTTCATGGGACAAATTTTAATTCCAATGCGCTTATGAGATGTTTGTGACCTTGCAGGGATTCGATCTTGAGCCCCAACATCATTTACTCATATTTACAAGTTGGGGTTTCACTTGAGGCTTAGTTTAAGCCATTAAAATCTGTGATTCGGCAGAATGCGTAAGTGATAAGCTATTGGGCCCAATCTTGAAAACATCCGGAAATTGGATTTTTAGCTAAATGTCCCTTTTAATTAAATGTTTGCTAATTAGTTAGTAGGTTCGGAATTCTTTTAAATGAGTAGAAGACCCCCAGTTTCCATTTAGTTAGTCAATTGTTTTTTTTATAAATGTAAAGTCGTGAGGTGTGCCATATTAAGCAAGATATAGTTATGGCCCTCAAAGTTTAGTTTAAGTTTTTCTTTAAAATTGGAATTGAGGTGCGCCGCGCCAAATAGAATTCCAAATGCGTGGCCCTCATTTAACTATTTCTTTAAAATCCTTAGAATTCGAGGCGTGCCATTTAGCAAATTTTTATGGCCCTCGCAAAGTTAAAAACACGTAGTTGCTTTAGGCGCGTTATTTTAATAACATTACCTTCCTAAACCCGGGTGCGCATTTATGTGACCCAAATCCGAATCTCAACAATGTTATATAGAATGTGTTGTGGACCACGGGTGCATTAATGTGACGTGGTTCAAGACATATTTTAAATAACGTTCATTTTTCTTTAAAAAATAATCAAAAGCGGTTAAGGTTAAAAATGCACATAGGTTTTGAACATGTACTAAAATTAGATAATAGGCCAATAATAATAGTTGAGCGACCGTGCTAGAACCACGAAACTCGGGAATGCCTAACACCTTCTCCCGGGATAACAAAATTCCTTACCCGGATTTCTGGTTCGCGGACTGTAATAGAAAGTCAATCTTTCCTCGATTCGGGATTTGAACCGGTGACTTGGGACACCATAATTATCCCAAGTGGCGACTCTGAATCTTTAAATAAAACAATCACGTTTCGATTGTCACTTTAAGATGGAAAAAACTCCCTTATACCCCTTCCGGGGGTGTAGTGAAAAAGGAGGTGTGACAGTAGTAATTCCTAAAAAAGGGAACAAACTAAGAATGTGTATAGATTATAAAGATTTAAATAAGGCATGCCCCAAAGACCCTTTCCCTTTGCCTAACATCGATCACATGATCGATGCCACGGCCGGCCACGAGATCCTCATTTTCTCGATGACTACTCCGGGTACAACCAAATACGGATGAACCCGGATGATTAAGAAAAGACCTCTTTCATCACCAAGTATGGCACATACTGCTATAACATAATGCCATTTGGATTAGAAAATGCCGGTGCCACTTACCAACGCCTAGTAAATTGAATGTTCGAAGAACAAATAGGAGAATCCATGGAAGTTTACATTGACAATATGTTAGTTAAGTCCCTGCGAGCAGAACATTTAAAGCATTTGCAGGAAACCTTCAGTATATTGAAGAAGTACAACATGAAGCTGAATCCAGAAAAGTGCGCGTTCGGAGTCGGATCAGGTAAATTCCTCGGGTTCATGGTGTCCAAATGAGGAATCGAGATCAACCCTGACAAGATCAAAGCTATCAACGATATCACGGTAGTGGATAATGTCAAGGCCGTATAAAGGCTAACCGGGCGCATTGCAGCCCTGGGCGATTCATCTCGAGGTCTTCCAATAAAAACCTTCAATTTTTCTCGTTGCCGAAGAAGAAAAAAAACTTCACATGGACCCCGGAATGCCAACAGGCTTTCGAAGAACTTAAGTGATATTTATCGAGCCCGCCATTACTTCACACACCGAGGGCGGACGAACGACTATACTTGTATCTAGCAGTACCAAAAATAACGGTAAAAGGAGTCCCAGTTTGGAAAGAACAAGGTACACAACGTCCAATTTATTAGCAGGACCTTAGGTGAGGCCGAATCTAGATACCCTCACCTAGAAAAATTGGCACTCGCTTTTCTATGTGCCTCTAGAAAACTGAAACCATATTTTCAGTACCATCCTATTTGTGTTGTGACAACCTACCCTTTACGATATATAATGCATAAACTCGGACTCTTGAGACGATTGGCCAAATGAGCCGTAGAAATCAGCGGGAACGATATCGAATATCAACCCCGAACAACCATTAAATCTCAAATTTTGGCAGATTTCATGGCCGACTTTATGCCAGTCTTATTAACCGAGGACAAAAGAGAGTTGCTGGTAAACTCGAGAACGTCTTTAAGAATCTGGACCCAATTTACCGACGGTGCCTCGAACGTAAAGGGGTCTGAACTTGGCATCAGACTAAAGCCACCCACAAGAAATATAGTTAGACAATCTATTAGAACTATAAAATTTACTAGTAATGAGGCTGAATATGAGGCCATGATTGTAGGTCTCAAACTAGCCAAAGGCTTGGGGGCGGAGGTGATCGAAGCTAAGTGTGACTCCCTCCTTGTAGTAAACCAAGTTAATGGAACGTCTGAAGTTAGAGAAGAATAAATGCAAAGGTACCTAGACAAGTTACGAGTAACATTATATCGATTCAAAGGGTGGACTTTGCAGCATGTGCCTCGAGATCAAAATAGTGAGGTCGATGCCCTTGCAAACAAAGGGTCGTCGGTCGAAGACGATGAGCTCAACTCGGGGTAGGTCGTACAACTCATGAGGTCGGTAGTAGAGGATGGTCACGCCGAAATAAACTCCACAAGCTTAACCTGGGATTGGAGAAATAAATACGTAGAGTATTTGAAGATCGGGAAACTTCCCTCAGATCCAAAGGAATCGAGGGCCCTGTGCACGAAAGCAGCCAGATTCAGCTTGTTCAAGGATGAAACCTTGTTCTGTAGAATGTTCGATGGCCCACTAGCAATATGTCTGGGACCAGTAGATACCGAATACGTTCTAAGGGAAGTTCACGAGGGCACTTGCAGAAATCATTCAGGCGCCGAATCATTGGTTCAAAAAGTGATCAGAGCCGGTTATTATTGGATCGACATGGAAAAGGATGCGAAAGAGCTTGTACAGAAATGTGACAATTGCCAAAGATATGCTCCGATGATTCACCAACCGGGGGAACTATTGCATTTAGTCTTATCGTCGTGGCCATTTATGAAGTGGGGGATGGATATCGTCAGCCCTCATCCATGGGCACCAGCTAAGGCTCAATTTTATCTTATTTATGACTGACTATATTTCTAAGTGGGTTGAAAATAGGCATACGAGAAGGTCATGGAGAAGGAAGTCATTGACTTCATTTGGGACCACATCATATGTCGATTCGGGATACCGTCCGAAATTGTATGTGACAACGAAAAATATTTTATTGGCAGTAAAGTGATCAAATTTCTCGAAGATCATAAGATCAAAAGGATCTTATCGACACCTTATCACCCTAGTAGGAACGGACAAGACGAATCGACCAACAAAACCTTAAGAAAAGGTTGACTGACGCTAAGGGAAAATGGAAAGAGATCCTGCCCGAAGTTCTTTGGGCATATCGCACAACTTTGAAGTCCAGTACCGGGGCTATCCCATTCTCATTGGTTTATGGCGCCGAAGCTCTAATACCGATCGAAGGCGGGAAGTCGAGTATCAGACTCCGATATGCAACAAAGGAATCAAATGACGAGGCCATGAATACGAGCCTGGAGTTATTGGATGAAAGGCGTGAAAGTGCCCTTGTTCGATTGGCCGCCCAAAAGCAACGAATCGAGAGGTATTACAATCGAAGGTGTCACACCTCCTTTTTTACACCCCGAAAGGGATATAAGGGAGATTTTCCAATTTAGGTGATATCATTCGAAATGGGATTATTTTATTTATTTTAGAGTCGCCACTTGGGATATTTATTATGGTGTACCAAGTCACCGGTTTATTTTAAAATCCCAAATTGAGGAAAATCGACTTTATTTAAAAGTCTGCGAAACCAGAAATTCTAGATAAGGAATTCTGTTAACCGGGGAGAAGGTGTTAGGCATTCCCGAGTTCCGTGGTTCGAGCACGGTTCCTTAAACTATTAAAATTGGCCTTAATTATCTGATTTACTACATATTTAAACCTATGTGCATTTTATTCCTTTCAACCGCTTTTAACATTATTTACGAAACTTGTTTGAACAAGTTGCGATGTCGCGCAATCGTTTGTTTTGTACACATTGCGAGTCGCGTCACGGGAACCGTACCCACGGTCTACAACATGTTTAATTTTATTATTATTCGAAATTAGGGTTGGGTCACATGAAATGTACACCTGAATTTGAATTTATGTATCGTGGCCATGCCACGGGAACCGTACCCATAGCCACGATGATTTTATTATTAATCGCACCTAAAGCAACTAGCGCATTTGAATTATTTTCCTAATCTTTCAGATTGCTGTGATACCAAATTTATGGACAAGATATTATTAGGGAGCAAATAGGCTAGCTAACATGATCTATTACTTGGCCAGATTCCTTATGGCTCAAGACCCACCTTACGGCCTATTTTTATTCCTTGCCAAGAAAGAAACAACTCCAATTTTTCCATCTACCCAATTAAAAGAATTTATTCGAGAACCAAGACTACGTACATCACAATCAAAATAAAAACTAATTAAAACAATTTAGATGAGAACTAAGACATGCTACTCAAACAACACAGTATCAAAAATCAACCAACACGCGCACCAAGCTATCGCAACAAAATGAAGTGAGAATGAAAAATGAGAAATGGACCTTTTATTGATGAACAAAGCTGAAAATTGCAAATCAATCGGGCTATACAAAGCAACAATCCTTGAACTGAAACACCAAAATTACAAATCGAAACCTCGAATCGACACCGGAAAGCTCGAAACCCAAATCGACCTCAGTCAAACGATAAACTTAAACCTCCAAATATCTGACAATGGTTAGTTTTTCGTTGTTAATAACGCAAGAGGGAAAGAACCAAGAGCCTTTGGGAACATATGCAAGAATGGGTCTTAGGCAATACAAGTGAAATCCACTGTCGCACTTATCACATAGCAGGAGCTCGGCTGCGTAATCTCCTGATCCACATTTCTCACATATGGTGGATCCATGGTTAATAAACCACTTAAGCGCACAAGTGTAGTGTACCATAGCAAGATCATTTTTGCATGCATAGCCAAGCTCATTCAAAGAGTCCTGGTTCTCATCATAACCCATCTCTATATCACCATTACAAACAAAAACCTCCCCTTTTGGACCAATTAATTCAACTAGTGCAGATCCTTTCCCGCTACTTCTGTTGAAGGAAACATTTTTGTCATTTTTCACCACTTCATGGCAATTAGGCTTCACCTCTCGATTGCTGCCGTATGCATCCGGCAAGATGGAAAGCCTGCCTCTTTATCCAGACTATGACGTGATATAGAAGAATTCCTTGATTCTTCGTTCTCAACAGATGAACCAACTTCATCACTGACTTCACTGCTTTGGGGTAACCGTTGGTTTTCCATCACATCAGGATTTGTGCGCCGAAATTTCTAACGGCTTTGCCAATTTCACAAGCATAAGTAATTAGTGTGAAGTGTAGATGGCAGATCTCACGCAAGCACACTCTCTGTTTCTTTAGCTACTCATTTTCAAGGCATTGTAGCAGCAATAAGCACCTACTTTGTGTCTGTTATCGCCGGTAAGGACTTTATCGGAGGAGCTCGCCGCTGAAGGTGTAATTTTTGTGGTTTTGAGGTGACGGCTGTCTAGATCTTTTATTTAGGAATTAGCGATTCTTTTATAGGGGTAGGAATTAGGTTAGGTCAAATGGGGAATGAGTATGGGCTCAATGTTTTGGGCTAAGGGTAATTGGGTTGGACCATGTCTTTTAGGTTTGAACTTAAACTAAAAAGACCAAATAATACAATGTAAATACAAAAATGTAAAAATCACTCTAAATTAAAATAAACTAATATAAAACTAAATACTATGAGTGAAACTATTTTTTTTATATTTTCAAATGTTATACAATTATAAATATAAATATAAATATACTAATTGACTTTAATCTAAATATAAAAAATATATTTTTTTTGTAATTTTTATTTTTTGTAACAAAAATAAAGTAAAAGAGCCGAAACTATTTAAAATAGCAATATTAAACCTAAATTAAATATTTACGCTAAAATGTGTAAAATCTTGGGAGAGGGTCAAAAATTACATGTCTACAGCTGCCCCTCTTTGACTACGCGAAGAGTTTTCCTGACAAAGAACGACGAGACAGGCTTTTTGACCCGACCCTTATTTAGAAAATAGACCAAAAACTAAGAGAATGTGATCGAGCCCTGGTATCTGAGCTGCCATCATATCCTTGGCGATAAAGGAATCAGGCCACGGGTAGTTCAGAATTAGGAACAGTGATGGAGTATGCCGAGGTGGAGAGCGATTGAGGTGCCGTCGAGGTTCCGGTCCGCGATCCCGTTATTACATCAAAATCAAAATTAAAAAAGACTAACTAAGCCTATCAGCTACGAGTTACAAGATTCCTATCTATGAGTCTTCTGAAGCTTGATCTTGAGTCTTGGTTGGTTCTTCATGCGGACTATGATCTGAATCTTGATGCTTGTTAGCTGCAGGTGTTGGTTCTTTCCTTTTTCAACTTCTCGGGTCAAGGCGGGACATGCAAAGCTTGTGACTTCAATCACGTCTTGAGCAGTCCACATCTTTTCTCCGCTTCTGCACTTTGAGTTCACTTCTTTTTCTTTTTTTTCTTTTTATTTATTTTTCTCTTTTTTCTTTGAAATCCTTTCCTTCAACTGCTTTGTTCCTGTTTCACACAAAGAAAATTTTGTCAGTTTTAAAAATGGTGGTCGGTTTGTGGCCTTGAGTCCTGGGCAGCTTGACTTTTTCTCAATCAGCTTGAGTCGGTTTCAAGAGACTTTTGCACTGCATCAACACTGATTGTTTCATACTTAGTACCATTTGTATTTGTGGCTCAATCAACCTTATCTCAACTGGAGATGTTTGCTTAGCTGACCATTTCTGATATCTTGAATGACTTCCTGCTTTTTGAGCAAGTTGTCTGTCAGAGAGAATCACAAGTTATCTTTGCTTGCGCTAAGTATTCTGACAACAATCTTTGGGGAAGCTTTTGCATGAATCCTTATGGCATGTTGACTGAAACAACTGAGTATGCTGGCCAAATTTACTTTGTGCAACTGAAAAGCTAGTAGCATATTTTGAAATCTTTTCTTACTTGTTTTTACAAGGACCGACTCAGAGTGAAGGACACAATGATGCAAAGAAACGAATATTAACAAGAAATTCCCCCAGTCGGAAGGACAGAAGGAAGAGTGTATTTTTTGTAACTAGCCTTAATGATCATGACATGCATTTTGGACTCAACAGCTTGATCTATCAAACTAATCCAATCTTCCCTTTTACCATTCTTATGACCTTTGAAATCAGGCTTGTTCGTGCCGATCCTTTGCATCGGCTTCATGACTCACTTTCGGCTAGTCGCGCCCTGGGGGGGTTTCACCAACAAGTCTCTCTCATTTATTCATCTCTACTTACAGCAACTTGACAGTGTTCTAGCGTGACAACCGTTGCTAGAACACCAGGTGTTTGGCAGAGTTTCAGTATATTTTGGACACCAGGTTTTTCAAAGGCGGGTAATTATCTCTCTCATACCTCAATTTTATTTTTCCCAATTTCCTCCCTATTCTAGCAACCGGTTAACATGCAAACCGAAGCAAATAATTGTATAAGTAGCACGTAAAAAATACATCAGGATGGTCTTTTAATTCTGGGGTCCACCTGTCCTAGACGGACCCAACCCCTGTGTTGAGTCCCCAAAGTCAAATGCACATGATGCAAACAAACGTTTCTACTAGGGATCCGACATGAGGCTGAGTTATTCTAGGTTTAAAACCTGGGTATATTGTTCTAGACTTGGTGTACCCGAGCGGACAACTCGAGCCGAGGAGGGGGCTACGTACCGGGAACCAAAAGGTCATCCGGCTTTATAACTTGTCCGAGCCTCTTTCTTATTTAAGGTATGAAACTAATAGAAAAGGAGTCACGCCAGCGTGCACATCCCCAAAGATGAGAAAAGAAAGGTTTCATAACAGTTTATATACAGTTCAAATAATATCAAAGCGGTAAAAAGCGGCATTTAGCACATTAGGCCCAAACATGTAATAAAATCAGATAATAAATAAAAGCCATATATAACAACTATTCTAAGCTCGAATTCTTGAACCCTGAACCGGAAGTTCTGGGCTTTTATCCCCAGCAGAGTCGCCAGAGCTGTCACACCTCCTTTTCACTACCACGAAAGGGATATAAGGGAGTTTTTCCAATTTAAGTGACATTATTCGAAATGGGATTATTTTATTTATTTCAGAGTCGCCACTTGGGATATTTATTATGGTGTCCCAAGTCACCGGTTTATTTTAAAATCCAAAATCGAGGAAAATCGACTTTATTTAAAAGTCTGCAAAACCAGAAATTCTAGATAAGGAATTATGTTAACCCGGGAGAAGGTTTTAGGCATTCCTAGGTTCCGTGGTTCAAGCATGGTTGCTTAAACTATTAAAATTAGCCTAATTATCTGATTTACTACATATTTAAACCTATGTGCATTTTATTCCTTTCAACCGCTTTTAACATTATTTACGAAACTTATTTGGACAAGTCGCGGTGTCGCGCACTCGTTTGTTTTGAATACATTGCGAGTCGCATCACGGGATTCGTATCCACGATCTACAACATGTTTAATTTTATTATTATTCGAAATTATGGTTGGGTCACATGAAATGCACACCTGAATTTGAATTTATGTATCGTGGCCATGCCACGAGAACCGTACTCATAGCCACGATGATTTTATTATTAATCGCACCTAAAGCAACTAGCGCATTTGAATTATTTTCCTAATCTTTGAGATTGCTGTGATACCAAATTTATGGACAAGATATTATTAGGGAGAAAGTAGGCGAGCTAACATGATCTATTACTTGGCCAGATTTCTTATGGCTCAAGACACACCTTACGGCCTATTTTTATTCCTTGCCCAGAAATAAACAACTCCAATTTTTCCATCTACCCAATTAAAAATATTTATTCGAGAACCAAGACTACGTACATCACAATCAAAATAAAAACTAATTAAAACAATTTAGATGAGAACTAAGACATGCTACTCAAACAACGCAGAATCACAAATCAACCAACACGCGCACCAAGCTATCGCAACAAAATGAAATGAGAATGAAAATTGTGAAATGGACCTTCTATTGATGAACAAAGCTGAAAATTGCAAATCAATCGGGCTAATCAAAGCAACAATCCTTGAATTGAAACACCAAAATTACAAATCGAAACCTCGAATCGACACCGGAAAGCTCGAAACCCAAATCGACCTCAGTCTAACGATAAACTAAAATATCCGAATATCTGACAATGGTTAGCTTTTCGTTGTTAATAACGCAAGAGAGGCAGAACCAAGAGCCTTTTGGAACAGATGCAAGAATGGGTCTTAGGCAATACAGGTGAAATCCACTGTCGCACTTATCACATAGCAGGAGCTCGGCTGCGTTATCTCCGGATCCACATTTCTCACATAAGGTGGATCCATGGTTAATAAACCACTTAAGTGCACAAGCGTAGTGTACCATAGCAAGATCATTTTTGCACGCACAGTGAAGCTCATTCAAATAGTCCTGGTTCTCATCATAACCCATCTCTATATCACCATTACAAACAAAAACCTCCCCTTTTGGACTAATGAATTCAACTAGTGCAGATCCTTTCGCGCTACTTCTGTTGAAGGAAACATTTTCGTCATTTTTCACCACTTCAAGGAAATCAAGCTTCACCTCTCCATTGCTACCGTATGCATCCGGTGATGGTGGAATAATTCCTAGAAATCCTAATGCAGCAACTCCCTTCTTGTCCGATTCAGAACACTGGCACACTCGACAAGATGGAAACCCTGCCTCTTTATCCAGTGACGTGATATAGAAGAATTCCTTGATTCTTCGTTCTCAACAGATGAACCAACTTCACAATTGACTTCACTGCTTTGGGGTAACCGTTGGTTTTCCATCACATCAGGATTTGTGCGCCGAAATTTCTAACGGCTTTGCCAATTTCACAAGCATAAGTAATTAGTGTGAAGTGTAGATGGGAGATATCACACAAGCACACTCTCTCTTTCTTTAGCTACTCATTTTTATGGCATTGTAGCAGCAATAAGCACCTACTTTGTGTCTGTTATCGCCGGTAAGGACTTTACCGGAGGAGCTCGCCGCTGAAGGTGTAATTTTTGTGGTTTTGAGGTGAGGCTGTCTAGATCTTTTATTTAGGAATTAGGAATTCTTTTATAGGGGTAGGAATTAGGTTAGATCAAATGGGGAATGAGTTTGAGCTCAATGTTTTGGGCTAAGGGTAATTGGGTTGGACCATGTCTTTTGGGTTTGAACTTAAGCTAAAAAGACCAAATAATACAACGTATCTACAAAAATGTAAAAATCACTCTAAATTAAAATAAACTAATATAAAACTAAATACTACGAGTGAAACTAATTTTTTTTTTGTATTTCAAATGTTATAATATTGTAAATATAAATATACTAATTTACTTTAACCTAAAGATAAAAAATATTTTTCTTTTTGTAATTTTTATTTTTTGTGATAAAAATAAAGTAAAAGAGTCAAAACTATTTAAAATAGCAATATTAAACCTAAATTAAATATTTACGCTAAAATTTGTAAAATCTTGGGGGAGGGTAAAAAATTACATGTCTACAGCTGCCCCTCTTTGACTGGAAATGCGAAGAGTTTTCAGACAAAGAACGACGAGACAGACTTTTTGACCCGACCCTTATTTAGAAAACAGACCAAAAACTAAGAGAATGTGATCGAGCTCTGGTAACTGAGCTGCCATCATATCCTTGGCTATAAAGGAATCAGGCCACGGGTAGTTCAGAATTAGGAATAGTGATGGAGGATGCCGAGGTGGAGAGCCGATTGAGGTGCCGTCGAGGTTCCGGTCCGCGATCCCGTTATTACATCAAAATCAAAATTAAAAAGACTAACTAAGCCTATCAGCTACGAGTTAAAAGATTCCTATCTATGAGTCTTCTGAAGGTTGATCTTGAGTCTTGGTTGGTTCTTCATGCGGACTATGATCTGAATCTTGATGCTTGTTAGCTGCAGGTGCTGGTTCTTTCCTTTTTCAACTTCTCGGGTCAAGGCGGGACATGCAAAGCTTATGACTTCAATCACGTCTTGAGCAGTCCACATCTTTTCTCCGCTTCTGCACTTTGAGTTCACTTTTTTTTCTTTTCCTTCTTTTTTTTTCTTTTTCTCTTTTTTTTGAACACCTTTCCTTGCACTGCTTTGTTCCTGTTTCACACAAAGAAAAATTTGCCAGTTTTGGAAATGGTGGTCGGTTTGTGGCCTTGAGTCCTGGGCAGCTTGACTTTTGCTCAATCAGCTTGAGTCGGTTTCAAGAGACTTTTGCTCTACATCAACACTGATTGTTTCACACTTAGTACCATTTGTATTTGTGGCTCAATCAGCCTTATCTCAACTAGAGATTTTTGCTTAGGTGACCTTTTCTGATATCTTGAACGACTTCCTGCTTTTTGAGCAAGTTGTCTGTCAGAGAGAATCACAAGTTATCTTTGCTTGCGCCAAGTAGGCTGACAACAGTCTTGGGGGAAGCTTTTGCATGAATCCTTAAGGCTTGTTGACTGTAATAATTGAGTGTGCTGGCCAAATTTACTTTGTGCAACTGAAAAGCTGGTAGCAAATTATGAAATCTTTTCTTACTTGTTTTGACAAGGACTGACTCAGAGTGAAGGACACAATGATGCAAAGAAACGAATATTAACAAGAAATGCCCCCTGCCGGAAGGACAGAAGGAAGAGTGTTTTTTTTAACTAGCCTTAATGATCATGACATGCATTTTGGACTCAACGGCTTGATCTATCAAACTAATCCAAAATCTTCCCTTTTACCATTCTTATGACCTTTGAAGTCGGGCTTGTTCGTGCCGATCCTTTGCATCGGCTTCATGACTCACTTTCGACTAGTCGCGCCCTGGGGGTTTTTTACAAACAAGTCTCTCTCATTTATTCATCTCTACTTACCGTCGCCTTAGTGTGCCCGTGAGGGTTTTCACTAGTAAGACTCTCTCATTTCTTTTATTTTTCGTTTTCTTTTGTTTTCTTGTATGAGCAACTTGACATTGTTCTAGCGTGACAACCGTTGCTCATTGCATGCTTCTCTTGGCATATCGGGAGGTCTTTATTTGGAAGGTTTCGGGTTAGACAGAAGGGTCGACATGAAGGATCAAAGTAGACTCAAATGAAGGGGGTTGTAGAATTACAATTCTTGGAATCGACTCTTTCAAAAGTGAAATAAATTCTTTGCCCCAGTTTCAACTATTGGGGATTTTTTTGGAATTTTTTTTCTTTGAATTCTTATTTGGTTGGACCGAACCGTGAGCTGCCTACGTATCTTTTTTTAAGGAATCAGGTCGAATGTAGTTCAAATATCTGACCTAACTATTATTTTTTTCCTTTATTTTTCTTTGTCATTTTTTTTCTTTTGTCTTTTTTTTTTGTTTTATTTTCAAAACAAGTTGCTCCAGCTTCTATTTTCTTGGGGCATGGACCTTTGACAGTTCTTTTCTTCTTCATTTTTTTTCACTTGAACATTCTAAGAATTGCCCCAGTTTTTACTCTTGGGACATGGACTTTTTTTTCTTTTTCTTTTTCCTTTTTTTTCCTTTTTTTTACTCTTGACTCTAAACTTGATTCTAAAAGAGGGTGGTCAAAGAAAATAACACAGGCTCAGAAGGGGTATCAAAGGGTATAAAGTGTTTGGATAGCAGAAAAAGGGCCTCCCAGCCTTGGGAATGCCAATCATATTATCTTGTCGCAATCGCATCATTGATGAACATGCTTGTCTTCTTGGTGTTTCGTGGCCACAAGACACTTTCCATCCCTTAATGTCAAACTTCCCAACAAACTTCAATTGATTAAACATCCTCAAGCCCGATCTTCACAATGATTTGAAGGTGAATTTTACTCGACCTTAATTCCAAAGTACTTCAACTCTTTATTCATCCTCAAAAGTTTTTCTTTTCAGTTTTCCAATTCCAGCTTAAATCAGTTTCTAAGATCTGGCCAAAATTTCCGCAGCATGTCATGTCATTAGAACTAGCGAAAAAAGAACTAGGAAATGAATGACACGAAAGGACAAACTGTATTTTATTGAATGAGGATGGAAGGGTTTGACAACTAACAAGCAACCAAAAATCCGAGTTACAACCCTAAAATAACCCGGATAATGAAAATAGCAACAGAAACAGACAGGCATGACTCATACAAACATAATAGAATGATAGAAGGGTTTGACTCAATAAAACAAATAAAATCTGGATCACAACCCTGAAATAACCCAGATAATAGAAAAACATCAAACAAGCTACCAAGCTTCCTTCCTAGTGAGGAGGGAATGACTTTTCAATTGCTAGGCTTGACATTTAGCCACAAATTTGCTCATCAGAATCACCATGGCCTGCTCCAATTTTAGTCGGCAAGTTTCCGAGAGGATTCTCATACTCCATGTCACCAGGCATCATCTCCACAAAGTGTGCATCATCATATGCAGGTAAAGGATTCTGCATAGTATTCTGGGTGTCACTATCTTGGATCACAATCAGTGTTTCCTGGATCATCCTTTCTATTTCTCTTTTCAAATCCCAACAGCTTTTAACATTGTGCCCCTGGGCATTGGAATTGTATTCGCACCTTTTAGAAGGGTCAAAGCTTCTTGCACGTGGGTCCACATGATTTGGAGGAATGGGTGCACTCATGTCATAATGCTTTAACTTCTCAAATAAGCTTGCATAGGACTCTCCTATTGGTGTAAAATTATCTTTCAACCTTTGTTCCCTTCTATACCCCTGTCTTGGATGTGGGTTATAGGGCACTTGAGAATTTTATGGAGGCTGGTGGAGATTTTGTGATGCTCGAGCGCGCTTTCTAGGGTGTTTTGGTGGCTGGACAACATACTGAGATGGAGCAACAGAGTATTGTGGGCTCTGAGGTGGATAGTAGTGCTCAGGAGCATCATCGGAAAACAGACGAGGCTGGTCACACCTTCGAGATGCTCTCTTAGGACCTCTTCTCGACCCTAATGTCATCATGATTTCTTCGCCCTTCTCATTCGTGTCACTAAATATATCAGATTCAATCTGGACAGCATGTGTTGCGGCTTTGAGAACTACTTGACTTATAATTCTTCATGTCTTAAGACCATTCTCAACCATTTCCCCCATTTTGATTGCTTCCAAAAAGGATTTACCCACTGCGGACATCATGTTTTGAAAATAATCTGGCTCTTGCGCCTGAAGAAAGACAGTGATTGGATCATGGTCATCCATGGGTGGCTTAACTCTAGCTGCTTGCTCTCTCCATTTAATGGTATATTCCCTGAAACTTTTAGTTGGTTTCTTCTTCAGGTTTGAAAGGGAATTACGGTCTGGGGCGATGTCGATGTTGTATTGGGACTGTTTGACAAAGGCCTGTGCCATGTCTTCCCAGACATACCAGCAGATGTGTCTTGATCCATAAACCATCCGGAGGCTACTCCCATAAGGCTTTCCCCAAAATAAGCCATTAGCAATTCTTCATTTCTTCCCGCACCTCTTAGTTGATTGCAATACCTTTTCAGGTGGGCTATGGGGTCTCCATGTCCATCATACTTTTCAAATTTGGGGATCGTGAAACAAGGTGGCAAGAGGACATCGGGGAACATACATAGATCGTTGAAGGCAATACTCTTCTGACCTGTCAACCCTTGCATGTTTTTCAAGTGTTGTTCTAGGCTTTTCACTCTTTGGGTCATTTCTTCCCGTGCCATCTTTTGGGCAGGCTTCTCAATGTTTGCAGGAAGATCAAACAAGTACTAGTGGTACTCAGGAGAGTGGTACTACTCTTGCTATGTAGCAAATAATATCTTTTTTTATGAATGTAATGAGCCTATCTTCTCTTCTTTGTTCATATTCCAAAAAGATATCGAAACTAATGTAAGACCAAAATATTCGGTCCTTGACCATTGGCCCATGCTTGACACTTTTTGGTCATTTGCTGTTTCTTTCAGTATTCTATTTTCCTCAAACACAATAGACTCTTGTCGAACCCTCTGACCCTGAGTCTCTTGAGCACTTGTAATAGCTTCGATGTCAGTTATCATTTTTCCTTGGATTTTGTGTTGTCCGCTTACCACAAATCGACCACCTCAAACTTTCTTCACAATTCAAAACAAAAGACACGTTAGAATGGACTCAGTCGGTCCTTATTATTATCATCATTTTTTCACTTTTGTTTTTTCATTTTTTTTCATTTTTTTCATTTTTCTTTTTAATGGTTGATCGAACCTGATGTGGGTTGCCTACGTATCATATGTTATCATGAATCAGATCTTGCCTAGTTCGGGAAGATTAGGAATAAAGGAAATAAGCTAACCCTATTTTTCTTTTGCTTTTTAAGAAATCTGAACGTAAAAGCTCCTAACAAGGAAAACATTTTTTGGATTTTGAATGTTTTTTTTTTGAAATTTTCGAAATAAAGACCTCTAAACAAGAAAGAAAATATTTTTAGATTTTCATTTTCATTTTTTTTTGAAATTTTTTAAAAAGAAAGACTTCTAAAGACGAAAGAAAATATTTTGGCTTTTTGTAACTTTTATTTTGAATTTATGAAAGAAGTACTTCTAAAGAAAAAGAAAATATTTTTGCATCTTGAATTTCTTTTCAATTTTCAAAAGAAGAATGAAAAACTTTTTTTTTTATTTTTGAGAAGAAATTAAAAGAAAATATTTTTTTTAATTTTTTTTTTTAAATTGAAGTCTAAAAGAAAGACTTTCTAAATAAGGAACTAAAAGGAAAATATTTTTAAATTTTTTGAAAATTGTGGGCCGGAATCGATGAGGTTTGCCTACGTATCTCATATCCGGTAAGAATCAGACCCGCGTAGTTCGGTCAGTTTTGATATAACTGAAAACATGAAATATTTTGAAACCATTTTCTCTTCTTTTTTTTTTAAATTTCGGCAGAGTTTCAGCATATTTTGGACACCAGGTTTTTCAAAGGCGGGTAATTATCTCTCTCATACCTCAATTTTATTTTTCCCAATTTCCTCCCTATTCTAGCAACCCGTCAACATGCAAAACGAAGCAAACAATTGTATAAGTAGCACGTAAAATGCATCAGGATGGTCTTTTAATTCTAGGGTCCACCTGTCCTAGACGGACCCAACCCCTGTGTTGAGTCCCCAAAGTCAAATGCACATGATGCAAACAAACGTTCCTACTAGGGATCCGGCATGAGGCTGAGTTATTCTAGGTTTAAAACCCGGGTATATTGTTCTAGACTTGGTGTACCCGAGCGGACAACTCGGGCCGAGGAGGGGGCTACGTACCGGGAACCAAAAGGCCATCCGGCTTTGTAACTTGTCCGAGCCTCTTTCTTATTTAAGGTATGACACTAATAGAAAAGGAGTCACGTCAGCGTGCATATCCCCAAAGATGAGAAGAGAAAGGTTTCGTAACAGTTTATATACAGTTCAAATAATATCAAAGCGGTAAAAAGCGGCATTTAGCACATTTGGCCCAAACATGTAATAAAATCAGATAATAAATAAAATCCAAATATAACAGCTATTCTAAGCTCGAATTCTTGAAACCTGAACCGGAAGTTCTGGGCTTTTATCCCCAGTAGAGTGGCAGAGCTGTCACACCTCCTTTTTCCTACTACGAAAGGGATATAAGGGAGTTTTTCCAATTTAAGTGACATTATTCGAAATGAGATTATTTTATTTATTTTAGAGTCGCCACTTGGTATATTTATTATGGTGTCCCAAGTCACCAGTTTATTTTAAATCCCAAATCGAGGAAAATCGACTTTATTTAAAAGTCTACGAAACTAGAAATTCTAGATAAGGAATTATGTTAACCCGGGAGAAGGTGTTAGGCATTCCCGGGTTCCGTGGTTCAAGCATGGTCGCTTAAACTATTAAAATTGGCCTAATTATCTTATTTACTACATATTTAAACCTATGTGCATTTTATTCCTTTCAACCGCTTTTAACATTATTTACGAAACTTGTTTGGACAAGTCGCGATATCGCGCACTCGTTAGTATTGTACATATTGCGAGTCGTGTCACGAGAACCGTACCCACGATCTACAATATGTTTAATTTTATTATTATTGGAAATTATGGTTGGGTCACATGAAATGCACACCTGAATTTGAATTTATGTATCGTGGCCATGCCACGGGAACCGTACCCATAACCACGATGATTTTATTATTAATCGCACCTAAAGCAACTAGTGCATTTGAATTATTTTCCTAATCTTTGAGATTGTTGTGATACCAAATTTATGGACAAGATATTATTAGGGAGCAAGTAGGCTAGCTAACATGATCTATTACTTGGCCAGATTCCTTATGGCTCAAGACCCACCTTACGACCTATTTTTATTCCTTGTCAAGAAAGAAACAACTCCTATTTTTCCATCTACCCAATTAAAAGCATTTATTCGAGAACCAAGACTACTTGCATCACAATCAAAATAAAAACTAATTAAAACAATTTAGATAAGAACTAAGACATGCTACTCAAACAACGCAGAATCACAAATCAACCAACACGCGCACCAAGCTATCGCAACAAAATGAAAAGAGAATGTAAATTGAGAAATGGACATTTTATTGATGAACAAAGCTGAAAATTGCAAATCAATCGGACTAAATAAAATAACAATCCTTGAACTGAAACACCGAAATTACAAACCGGAACCTCGAATCGACACCGGAATGCTCGAAACCCAAATCGACGTCAGTCAAACGATAAACTAAAACCTCCGAATATCTGACAATGGTTAGCTTTTCGTTGTTAATAACACAAGAGGGGCAGAACCAAGAGCCTTTAGGAACAGATGCAAGAATGGGTCTTAGGCAATACGGGTGAAATCCTCGCACTCATCCCATAGCAGGAGCTCGGCTGCGTTATCTCCGGATCCACATTTCTCAAATATGGTGGATCCATGGTTAATAAACCACTTAAGCGCACAAGCGTAGGGTACCATAGCAAGATCATTTTTGCACGCACAGCCAAGCTCATTCAAAGAGTCCTGGTTCTCATCATAACCCATCTCTATATCACCATTACAAACAAAAACCTCCCCTTTTGGACTAATGAATTCAACTAGTGCAGATCCTTTCCCGCTACTTCTGTTGAAGGAAACATTTTTTTGTCATTTTTCACCACTTCATGGAAATCAAGCTTCACCTCTCCGTTGCTATCCTAATGCAGCAACTCCCCTCTTGTCCGATTCGGAACACTGGCACACTCGACAAGATGGAAAGCCTGCCTCTTTATCCAGACTGTGACGTGATATAGAAGAATTCCTTGATTCTTTGTTCTCAATAGATGAACCAACTTCACCACTGACTTCACTGCTTTGGGGTAACCGTTGGTTTTCCATCACATCAGGATTTGTGCGCCGAAATTTCTAACGGCTTTGCCAATTTTACAAGCATAAGTAATTAGTGTGAAGTGTAGAGAGGAGATCTCACGCAAGCACACTCTCTCTTTCTTCAGCTACTCATATTCAAGGCATTGTAGCAGCAATAAGCACCTACTTTGTGTCTGTTATCGCCGGTAAGGACTTTACCGGAGGAGCTCGCCGCTGAAGGTGTAATTTTTGTGGTTTTGAGGTGACGGCAGTCTATATCTTTTATTTAGGAATTTGGTATTCTTTTATAGGGTAGGAATTAGGTTCGGTCAAATGGGGAATGAGTATGGTCTCAATGCTTTGGCTAAGGGTAATTGGGTTGGACCATGTCTTTTGGGTTTGAACTTAGGCTAAAAAGACCAAATAATACAATGTATCTACAAAAATATAAAAATCACTCTAAATTAAAATAAAATAATTTAAAACTAAATACTACGAGTGAAACTAATTTTTTTTTTTGTATTTTCAAATGTTATAATATAATAAATATAAATATACTAATTGACTTTAACCTAAAGATAAAAAATATATATATTTTTTGTAATTTTTATTTTTTTGTGATAAAAATAAAGTAAAAGAGTCAAAACTATTTAAAATAGCAATATAAAACCTAAATTAAATATTTACGCTAAAATGTGTAAAATCTTGGGGGAGGGTCAAAAATTACATACAGAAGGGCCAACCTTGGATACTTCAATGTCGGGTACTTAGTACTAGGAAGGTCACACTAAGCACCCGGAATCCGAACAAAGGGAAATTAAGTCCGAACTAGGAAGGATCATACCAGATTATCGAGGTCATAGGGAAACGATCCTATAAGCTCGGAATGACAAACGGAGAACAACTATCGAACAATTGAACGTAACTCACCTAAAATGATATTATTGCTAAGGTACGGCCCAATTTCATTTCTTTTTATTTTTGGACTATGTGACGACCCGGCCAGTCGTCTCATGAGTTACCGCTCCGTTTCCCTCATTTCTGCTTCTTTATGTTTTGTTTATCCGTGTTTTGTGGTATCGAGTTGGTCGGATTGAATCCGGAATGATTTTGGTGAAGTTTGAGACACTTAGTCTCTTTTAAGAAGGGTTAAGT